CGGCCTTTTACCACGTGATCAGCGGTGTCCAATGACACGCTGATCACAGGGAAATGCAAGTGCCGGTTCTCAGCTGCACTTTCCTCACGCTGTCAGATCGTGAGGAAAGTACTGCCGAGAACCGGCAGTTGTCAGAGCGGGGATCGGCACCGATCATCAGGGCACTGATGATCAGTGTCCTGATGATCGGTGCCCAGCAGTGACACCCGCAAGTTCCGCCCAGCAGTGCGCCCACTAGCCCCGCCCACCCGTTCCCAGCAGTGCCCCCACCTGTGCCCAGCAGTGCCCCCACCTGTGCCCAGCAGTGCACCCACCTGTGCCACTCTGCAGTGCCACCTACCTGTGCCCAGAAGTGCCACCTACATGTGCCCAGCAGTGCCACCCACCTGTGCCCACCAACCTGTGCCCACCAGTGCCACCCACCTGTGCCCACCCACCAGTGCTGCCCCACCAGTGCCACCCACCAGTGCAGCCCAGCAGTGCTGCCAGTCAGTGCCACCAGTCAGTGCCCAGGGGTTGTGCCAGTCAGTGCCGCCAGTCAGTGCCCAGAAGTGATGCCAGTCAGTGCCGTCTATCAGTACCCATCATCAGTGTCACCTATCAGTGCCGCCTATCAGTGCTGCATATCAGTGCCGCCTATCCGTGACCCCTAATTAGTGCTGTCTATCAGTGCCGCCTATCCGTGCCACCTCATTAGTACTGCCTATCAGTGCCCTTTAGTGCTGCCTATAAGTGCCCATCAGTGCCGCCTATCAGTGCCCATCAGTGCTGCCTCATCAACGCAAATCAGTGAAGGAGAAAAAATACCTGTTTGAAAAATTTTATAAAAGAAACAAATAAACTTTTTTTTTTTTTTTCAAATTTTTTGCACTTTTTTTAATTTATAGCGCAAAAAGTAAAGCGCCCAGTGGCGATTAAATACCACCAAAAGAAAGCTCTATTTGTGAGAAAAAAATGATCAAAATTTCATATGGGTACAATGTTGCATGACCGCGCAATTGTCAATCAAAGTGCGGCAGCGCTGAAAGCTGAAAATTGGCCTGGTAAGGAAGGGGGTATAAGTGCCTGGTAGGCAAGTGGTTAATCCTGTGTTGAGTCCTAATGAAGGAGCAGTGGTGTTGTCCTCGAAATGTGTTTGCAAAATGTTTTTATATGCCTTTTTTTATTAAGAATTAATATGATCTTGGGCTCTTTTATTTGGTTTCACTCTGGCCCTCCTCTCTTTTTCTCTATGGATTAAGCTACTGTTGGTTGCCCATCAAAAGAAGCCTTGCTGAGAGGGAGCTGCCTTGCCAGAGCTATTGAGATTGTTTAAAATCTTTCTTTATCTAACTACGTATGCAAGTCTAAAGGTTCGCAGCACTCTTTTGAATATGCTGTTCTGAAGTTCATTGTACATTAACCTAACACTGTAGCAAAGGCTGACTTCAGTGCATGCAGTATGTGATTCAAACTTTCCTCTACATCAGAGTCAGGGCACAAGCCAATCTTATCCCTTAATGCCTCCATTCTAGATGCATGTAAAAGACACTAGTAATTAATGCCATTGTTTGCATATTTAGAGATACCCACAGATATTAGTAGTCTTTCTTAAACAAAAGTTTTAAAGAACTCTAATATGTAAAGATGGAGTATTTCCCCTGCATTTGTCAAATAATGGGTAGTTATGGATGCTGGGGTATATTCCCAACACTCATTTGAATTGAGCAAGCTACTTGGATGAGTGTTGAATCTTCTTCAACATTTGAATCTGACTAACTACTACTAGCAGTTCACATGACAATTAGGAGTGATTAAATGAGCCTGTGAATTAGTGTGAAATAGTGTGAATTATGTGTGCGTACTTCCTGCACTTTCAAATTAATGGGGAGACAGTAAGGGTGGTAAAGTGTTTTAAAGTCAGATGATATCTAATGGTGCCCTGACCTGATGTAAACTTCTATGGATAAAAGTAATTTCTGAACATAAAGCCTACAAGACTACAATTTTTGAAACTTAACTTATTCTGTGGGGTATCCCATATGGAAGAAAAATATATTTGAAATATATTTTGATTTTAATTGCCATATATTTTAAATACTACAATTTTGGCCATATTCAATATATATAATATATATATATATATATATATATATATATATATATATATATATATATATATATACACTGCATGTTGAAATGCATTTTTATTACAAAATATATGAAAAATATTTTTAAAAATAAATTTCAAATATACTGTATGTCTTTAAAAATACAAATCTACATCTTTGGAATGCATTTACAAATATCTGTAAAAATATATGTTAAAATGACTTTTTTTATATGTTAAAAAAAAATCTGAAGTATATATTTAAAAAATATATATTTTTAAAAAGATTGATAGCAGCAGAAGTCATTGGCTCCAGCTACTGTCAATAAAATCTTGTGACAAGAGAGTGGGTGGCAGGGAAGCAGATAAGTATGACATGTTTATAATTTTATTAGAAAAAGGAAGCTTTAATATCACTTTAATAGTGCATTTTGATGAAGTTTCAGGGCAGTGCATTCAAATCAGTTCAGTAAAAACACACAATTGCTTTGTTGTACAACATGAAATATTCACAGGCAGTGAGCATGACTTTAGTTTTTATTTTTAATTGATTATATTGGGGAAACGGCCCATCAAGTAGTCTGTACAAGGTCCTGACCCTGTTGGGTAGGCTGTATTAGTCTTGAGCAGGGGCGGACTGACCATTTGGAAACTCGGGCCCTGCCCAAGGGCCCGGGGTCAGTAGAGGGCCCCATAAGATGCCCCTGGTACCTTTTTCATAGGCTTTTTTGAGTTTGGGGAAGGACACAGGGGCCCCATGATCCCCTATTGCCCGGGGGCCCCATGAGTTGTCAGTCCGCCCCTGGTCCTGAGTACTGTCACATAGGCTGCACAGGGCCCGTGATTTTCCGTGGTAGCCTTGGAGGTAACACTGTTCTGGAGGTAACAACGAAAGGGGTAAATTGGTCCAAAAAGTTTCTGCATGTTAATATTTTCAGATTATATCTCCCACTCTTTTTACAGCAGGATTTTTTTTATTCTCTGCATTGCTCCAGCAACTTCTGCTTCATCCAGCTCCCACTATTCTGCAAAGCTTGGTTTTAGCAATCACAGAAGTAGAGTCTGTGCTGCTCACAGTGTGAGAACAGCAGACCTACCAGGCTGAATTATTAGCTTGTGTATGGCTAGCTTTAAAGTACACATAAGGATTAAAATACATAAAGTTTAAAGCCAGGAACCCCCGCTGCTGATAAACACTAAATCACAGTGTACATTTTTGAGAACCTTCACAGACACAATGTAAATACCTTTTTTTTTTTTTTTTTTCACTTATTTGGAGTAATCTTGTTTTTGCACATTTCTATTTGCCGTGTGTCAGTTGTTGGGGGGAACTCCAACCCTCAACAATGGATAGCTCATAGGAAGCTGGTGTGTGGTGTTACAACGCAGTGAATTCAGCCTCTTTGTGAACATACCACTGATACACAGCAGATGAAGCTGTGTGATCATATGCTCATAGAAAGTTAATAAAAAGGTATTTAGTCATTTATTGCAAACCAAATGCAGCATGTTTATCAGCAGTGGGGAGGTAAATTAACCACTTGTCCTCCAGAGGATTTACCCCCCTTCCTGACCAGGCCATTTTTTGAGATGCAGCGCCAACCATAGCTTGCCAACCAAGCTATAGCCGAATGATGGCTACAGAATGCTTGTCCAGTTCTGGTAGGGAGTCATATGACATTCTCCCAGTATGCGCCCTCCCGTGTGCCCCCTGGGGCACGCACCCGGTGATCTCCGTGATCACTGTGTCCTATGGACACAGCTGATCACGTAATGTGGTAAAAGGTGAATCACAGCAGATCACTGGGGATATGCAATTGCCGGTTATCGGCTGTACTTTCCTCCTACTGTCACAGTACTGCCAGTAATAGGCAATTGTCAGAGGACGGATCAGCACTGATCATCTGGGCACTAATGCAGTATTTTTGCTATAGGGAGGCGCAGAAGTGGTTTTAAACTCTATTTATGTTTATTTTAGCCGTTATTTTAAACTAGACACAAAAGCTGGACACAAAAGCTACGTTTTTGCATATATTGCCAAAAAAAAAAAAAAACCAATGAATAATTGCTAATTCACTTTTGTCAGGATCCATCACAGTGTTTAATTGTGTCTAATAGTTCAGTAAAGATTTCCATCTTTGCTCCATTTTTTGATTCAGATTGACAGGTGTAATGCCTCTTAACCAGGTTTATTGCACAAGATTTTTGCCACCTACAAAAATCTTCAACCTATTAGCAGCCATAACAGCTGTTGCTGTACCCAGCAGGAAGGTCAGTGTCAAATGATGTTTTCTAACTATTTCATGCCAGTCGTGCTTGCCTTATAATTGGTTTTTATCACTGTATTCTCTGCAAGAGCTGTGGGGTTCTTGCACTTTAAATGGACTGTACTGATTAAAGTAGTTGGCTAAACATATGTACAAATAATTTTACTAACAATACGTTCTTGGCTGTGTTTCTGTTTTTATTACAATAATTCTTCCTTAATATACAGTATTTCAAAATTAAATCGTACAATAGGTTAATGATATGCCTGTTGTAGATTCCCTTTTAACCACAAGCCTACAAGGCACTTATACCCCCTTCCTGCCCAGAGCCAATTTGCAGCTTTCAGTGTTATCACACTTTGAAGGACAATTGCGCGGTCATGCAACACTGTACCCATATGACATTTTATCATTTTTTGAGACAGAGCTTTATTTTGGTGGTATTTAATCAACTCTGGGATTTTTAATTTTTCTTAAACAAACCACTGAAAATTTTGAAAAAAAAAAAGTTTTTTTTAGTTTTTGTTATAAAATTTTGTAAATAAGTGATTTTTTTCCTTCACTGATGTGCGCTAATGAGGCTGCAGTGATGGGCACTGATAGGTGGCACTGATGGGCACTGATGAGGAGGCACTGGTAGGTGGCACTGATGTGCATTGACAGGCATCACTGATGGGCACTGAAAGGCAGCACTGATAGGTGGCACTGATATATGGCACTGATATGCGGCACTGACTGGCACTGATAGGTGGCACTGACTGGCACTGTTAGGTGGCACTGACACGCACTGATAGGCGGCACTGGCTGGCACTGATAGGCGGCACTGAGTGGCACTGATAGGTGGCACTGACTGGCAGCACTGATAGGTGGCACTGATTGGCATTGATAGGTGGCAATGACTGGCACTGATGGGTGGCACTGAAAGGCAGCTCAAATGGGCACTGATATGTGGCATTGATGTGCACTGGTAGGCACTGATATGTGGCACTGATGGGCACTGGCACGTGGCACTAATGAGCACTGACAGCTGGCACTGATTGACACTGACAGGTGGCACTGCTGGGGCTACACTGATCATCAGGGCACACTGATGATCAGTGTAAATGTCCCCTCCGCGGAATGCAGATTACCGGCTCTCCTCTCTTCTCGAGCTGTCAGCGTGACAGCTCGTGGGGAGAGAAATGCTGATAACCGGCATTTCCCTGTTTACATGTGATCAGCTGTGATTGCGCGATGAGAACAAGAGAACCACCTTGCGCCCGTCATTGGACTATATGGTGGGCGGGAGGTGGTTAAATGAATGCCCTACCTCCTCATTAAATTAGAGCTACATTACATCTGATAACCACAAAGTAAAAAAGCTATTCAATTCAGTTTTAATATTTGAGGCAAACTCATCCATCCATGCCTTAATGCTTTATTTTGTGGAGAAAACACCTCGAAATACAACCCAAAGCGTTTTTTGGCCATGGTTATCTTGAGTAAGGACTGATAACTCATGTAGCATTTTCTTCCTGGAATCCATCTGTCCTCAGCTCAGGCCTGCAGGGAGGAGGGTGTGTTTAGCTGAGAAAACCCCTCCTCCCCTCCTGAAGACTCCTGGGATATATGACACCATTTGACTAGGCCTGGAAACCAGGAAGAAACTGAAGAAATGTAAAATCAGTTTAAAACAAGTAAATATGATACACTTTTCTATCTATTTACTAATGCTAGCAGCATATTGTTTAAAAATTAGACATGTGAGGAACAGAAACATTTGTTTAGTTTTGTTTTGGATAGATTCATTATGTTAATAATTTTGTTTCGTTGATTCATTTTCAGGATTCGTTTAGCTCTGTTTCATTTATTTGTTTTTAAATGAATTCCTAGTTTTTTGAAAGGATTAGACTTCAAATCAATTGAAAATTGATTGACTGATCCAAATTCTGTTTGAAGAATAGCTGGTTGTTAAGGCCACCACATCCTTATCCCTTGACTCATCTGCTGTCAGTGGGATTCCCCACTGTCCGCAGAACATCAACAAAGCTAATGCCCCTCCGGGTCTGGTATGTATTTCAAGGGGAACCCTGTGCCAAAATAAAAAACATAGCATGGACCCCCCCAAAATATATACCAGACCCCTATCTGAGCATACAGGCCAGGAAAGGAGGGGAAGCACTGCTCCTCCTTAATCTTACCAGGTCATATGCCCTCAACATGGGGAGGTGCTTTGGGGCAGGGGGACTCTCCCCAAAGCACCTTGTCCTCATGTTGACATTTTCCTGGAGGTTGTCAACCTTTAACAAGGGGTCCCCCAAATCCCATCCCCCTATGTGAATGAGTTTGGGGGGTACATTGTACACCTCATTCACCAAAAAAGTCAGTAAAAACACAAACACAGTTTTTGACAAGTCCATTATTTTTAAAAAAGTGACTCTGCCTTAGGGTCACCTGGAGATGTCACCAGGTAATGTTTATCGGTCATTTGGGAATGACACTCGCCCAATGACAGGTAAACATGAGGAAGGGGTCACCTGGTGACATCAGGTAACCCCCACCAACATGTTTACCTGTCAGTCGGCTGTGTCCCTGGATGGGACCAGTCATGTTTGGTGGGGGCAGCGTTTTTTTTTTCTTTTTCATGCAGGTCGAAGTTTATTTTTTTTTTTTTAATCGGTAAAGGACTTCTCAAAAACTGTGTTTGTATTGTTGAGTCAGCTGTTAAGGACGTGACAGTTTGCTCCTTAACAACCAGCTATTGGCAATGAATTCAGATCACTTATTTCATTTGAATGCTTTAAACATCCGAATAAATCAAATTAATTTTGTTTGATTCATTGTCATTTAATTCACATTCATTTTAATCATTTACTATTGTCATTTGGATATGTGGATACATCCAAATCTCCAAATAACCAAAATTTTGTCTGCATTTAGATTCGGGATGAAATGAATTGCACATGTCTATTAAAAATAGTCAAAGATAGAGAGACTGAAGTTCCTCTTTAAAGTATATTCTTTGGCTACAATGGCTTGATGGATGCGCAGCAAAAAAAAAAAAAAAAATATCCCTTTTTTTCCATGTTGTCCGCTTGATTTTTCTTGTTGAAATCTTGATTTACTTGTGTTTGCCACTCAACGATAGCACCTAAAGGTAACATATATTTTTTCATTTTTGGAAAATAATACTCTATAGGCAACTTTCCTAAACGTCATCAATGGTCATACACACCATGTTTATTGATAGCTCTCATTTAAAATGAACCTGTAGTTGTGCTTTGTGGGACAACATCTAAGATATACAGTATCTGCCTTAATTATGCTAAATGTTTGAATGATTGTACAGTCCTCCACCTACTTTTTTTGTCTGAATGTACAGCCATAGAAAAAGTTATCTGGACAGTAAAGATATTTACATTAAATGTTGTCCCAAATTTACTTAGAAAATTTAAGGTGTCCAAGCTGAACAACTGTTTCATCAACAGTGATATACAGTAGGAGCTAGTTCATTTTCCCAATTGCCACATAACAAAAAAAAACACACTACAATGTTCTTGTTCAGCTCTAGTTACATTCCATTTGGTGCATGCAAGGGAGAGAATGATTTTGCTGATTCTTTCCAACATATTGGAAAAAGATTTAAGAGCATGAAGGAATATTTTTGATGTGTATGCATGTTAAGTTATAGATCCAAATGCTACCCTTTATTCTAAGATTGAATGCATTATTTGTAATAATGGGGACCTAAAACAAAGATAAATTTCCAACGAAGGCTTTCTTCAATGCATTTGACATGTGTATTCACCTATTTAGCAATCCTTATAAATTGATTTGGTATCTGGCAATTATGTTTTTTTTTCAGTACTGCTGTTGCTTCAAAGCATTTAGAAAAAAAAGTGTTCCTATGGGGCTATTAACCTCAATGAGATGTATTTAAAGGAAGTCTGTCAGCATAGATATATGGAAGAAATATTGATGACATGTTTTTGAAGATGTATGTTCTAGGACCATCGTCTTTTTTTATGTATGTGGGTATAGTGTGAACTTACAATTATTGACAAATGCTAATCAGTGGTTCACAGATTAGGACCAAGCACATTGACATCAAGTATGCTAACATCTGATATGCATATGTTCTGTTGGGTCCGTGACTCCCCAAGTACTAGAGGAAGGTTACAATTACAGTTTCAGATCATACAATTTATTAAAAAAAAGCCGACAAAGGCAGCTCACTTAATTTTAGGGTGACAGATTACAAAGACTGCTTGTTGCAGATGCTTTTCTCCTTGCCCTGTATTCCATAGTCTCAGTTGATTGTGCCTGCACTGACTAAACTCTTTTTGCAGTTGCATCTCTGGTGCCTGAAATTATAATATAATCCTGCTATTTTTTGGATAATAATGAATTTCCAGATAATAGATTCAGATATGTTTTGCCATCATAGTCATAATTGTGTTTGAAATACTAAATAGTTGTAAATTATTTTTTCGCTGAGATTCATTTAAGGAAAGGCACAAAAGTGTACATTTCCTAACAAGGGTGAAGGTGTAATAGAAAACAAAAATACCCTACCTATTTGCAAAGCATGTTAACCACTTCATAAAGGACATTTATATTTTTAGACTGAAAGTGAAACCTTTCTTACAGATGTGACCCTTTCTGTAGTGTTTTCTTTGAAAGATGGGTTGATGTAGGGTTGCCACCTGTCAGAGTTTCACCCAGACAGTCTGGGACTTGAATGATGTCTTCAGTTTTCTGTCTGCCTGAGACCATTGTTCAGGACAGATTGTACCAGCAGGAGCATACCAACCTGTGACAAGTCTCCTCTGATATTCACAGCTCGTTCATCTCATGAATGTCTCCCCTCCTCGTTGGCCAGGAGGGGCGAGGAGGGACACACACTGATCTGAAGTCTTTAGAAAGTGTATTATACTCTGTAGCTGGACAGGGGAGGGAGGGGGGCAGAGTGTCTGTGAAGGGGAATGAGTTAACAAAACTGTACTTTTCGTGGAGTGATTGGGGGGTTAGGGGGTATAGTGGATATGTGTTGGGGGGGTGGCGTTTTGGCAGGACTTAGTCCCCAGTCACATTAGATGTGAATTGGCATGCAAATTGAATGCCATGCGACTTGCAGATTGCATTCCAATTCACACCCTATTGTCCGCAATTACATCGGTCATATCAGTGGGTTCCGACTTGGTTGGAGCCGTATCAACGTCTAAAGTAGTACATTCACTACTTTTGGTGCGATTTGAATACACATCTGTGTCAGATGTCTTGCAAATCTCACCTGAAAAGGCCATGTCATCTGACTTTGAAATTGTGTGACTTCACTGTAAGTGGCACGATTTCAAAGTCGGGTTTGGTGTGACCAGACCGAGGTGTTAAGCTAGAAGTGTGGGTTGCATTTGAAATCTGGCCCCCCTTCTAACACAAGCCCTCTCCCCTCCCAAAGCACCCTCCAGCACATATCTGCCCCCCCCCCAAACCCCACAGCTAGCACTAGCCCTCTACCCTCCCAAAGCACCCCTTCAGCACATATCTGATCCCCATTGCTAGTTCTAGCCCTCCCTACTCCCAAAGCATCCCTCAACACATATCCTACCCCCTCGGCTAGCACTAGCCCTCTTCCTCCCAATGCACCCCCCAGCACATATCCAACTCCCCCCACACCCCTAGCTAGCAGTAGCCCTCTCCTCTTCCAAAGTGTCCCCAGTACATATCCAACCTCCCATCCCCATGCTAGCACTAGCCCTTTCCCCTCCCAAAGCATCCCCTAGCACATATCTTTTCCCCCTTGCTCCCCCAAATTAAAGAGATTCTGGCTGCCACAGAGGGGATGATCATGGCATCTGGAACCCCAGCTCCACAAGAGAGGCAGGGCATTTGTCCTGGATGCCCATGCTAATGCCCTCCTGCTGGGCAAGTTAGTGGAGCCAAGTACCAGAAC